ATATGAATCTATATCTGTGGTTTCTTTCTACTGACTTTTATGCATGATGGTATATTTACTGATTATTCTATTGTGAACTCATATTTGACTGAACCTAATCTGTAGGACCCCCAAGAAGATTGGAATGAGAGCACTTTTTCCCCAGGGAAGATTTAGGTTTGCTTCTACTAGGTGCTAAGAAGAGCTACTTGTAACCATTTCAACTTCCTGGCCTAAAAATTTCTTAATCATAGAGGTAGTATAAAATCAAACTACAGACCCTCGTGAGAACAGGCCGCTGTTTACCTTCTAGTTTCCATTGTTGCTGATGAGAAGTGTGCTCTTAGGCTAATCATTATTTCTAAGAGGTGGTCAGTCTTTTCTGTCTGGTTGCTTTGAAGATCATTTCTTTGCCTTTGGTATTCTGCAGTTCACTGTCATGTGTCCAGATGCTGACTTTGTATTTATCATGGTTGGTATTCAGTAAACTTCCTGAATCTATTGATTCATTCTTTGACTAGGGTATGAGTCAAGGTTCTTCACAGAGACAGAACCAACAGGATGGATAGAGGGATAGATGGATGGATAGAGATATACGAGAAGCGATTTATTACAGGAATTGGCTCATGTAATTATGGAAGCTGAGAAGTCCCACAATAGGCCTTCTGCAGGCTGGAGATCCTGGCATGCCCAGTAGTGTGCTCAGTCCAAGTCCAAAAGCCTCAGAAGCAGGGAAGCTGATGGCCTGAGAACCTTGGGGGGCCACTGGTGCAAGTCCCCGAGTTCAAAGGCCAAGAAGGCTCGAGTTCTGATATCCAAGAGCAGGGGAAGAAGGGTGTTTGTTCCAGCTTCAGGACAGAGAGTGAGCAAATTGGCCAGTACTCTGCCTTCTTGTTCTATATGAGCCCCCAGCCAATTGGATGGTGCCGCCCACATTGGGTGAGGGCAGATCTTCCCCACTAGGCCCACCAACTCACATACAATCTCCTCCAGAAACACCCCCCGAGCCACATCCAGAAATATGCTTCACTGGCTATCCAGCTATCCCTTAATCCAGCTGACACCTAAAATTAGCCGTCACAACCAGTGCTAAAAAAGTCTCAGCATTACCTCTTAGACTATTACCTTTATTACTCTGTTTATTCTCCTTTCCAGGAATTGTAAGTCAAAGAGTTAGATGTCATTGGAACTTTTTTTTGTGTGTCTCTTAATCTGTTTTATATTTTCCATCTCCTTACACCTATGTGCTGCATTTTAAGCGATTTATTCCAATGTAATTTGCATTTCACTAATTCTCTTTCCAATTTTAACTAGCTCTTTAACCCATCTGCTGAACTGTATTTTTTAAACAACTGTATTTTTCATTTCCATAAGTATCTGGCCCTTTTTCAAATTCAATTTATCATTTCTGATAGTCTCAAAACTGAGAACTTGCTCATTTTTTTCAATATTATTTCCTTCTAATATCTGAAGCTTTATATGAATCTATATCTGTGGCTTCTACTTTTCACATGGTAGTATGTTTACTGATCATTCTACTGTGAATTCATATTTGACTGAACTTAATCTGTAGAACCCCTAAGGAGATTGGAAAGAGAGCCCTTTTTTTTGAGGGAAGATTTAGGTTTGCTTCTACTAGTTGCTAAGAAGAGCTACTTGTAACCATTTCAATTTCCTGGCCTAGAAATTCCTTAATCATAGAGGTAGTATAAAATTGAACAATAGACCTTTGTGAGAACAGGCCTCTGTTTGCAAATTCCCAGAGGAGTCTTTTCCTTTTTTTTTTTTGTTAACCCTACTCTGTGCTTTAGAAGCACCAACAGGGACTCTCCAAGGCTCCCTTTCCAGGCTACAGACTTTCACAGCCCACCCTTCACCGAGGGTGCAAGCTCTTAAGAGCATCTCCTATTTCCCCATGAAAGAGTTAATCTCAAAGTTCTAGACTTGTGGTATTTCTATCTGTACCTGCAACAGCACAGGCTTCTGTGTTGGCCTCTGCTTTCCAATATGCTATTTTTTCCTGCCCTTTAGAGATTTCTCTTATTTTGGGGGGAGCTCAGTAACAGATTTACAATTGCGCATTTGTGAATATGTATACAGCATCTGTTTTACAAAAGAGGGCTTTTCAGAATGTCAAGTCCACCACACTCCCCAAAGCCAACATCTTTGTCTTTTTCTTTCTAATCATTTTTCCTATTACTTATACTAATTCCATTATACCTAGAAAAAAATATACCCAGTGATGTTAATTCAACCGTCACTGTATCTTTGGCTATGAAATAACAGCGGCACTTTTCTAGGGAATCTCATTATCAATGGGGAGATTCAGCACATCACTCCCCTTACTCCTGGAAAGTCAGTGGTTTCTGTCTTGTGGAGCAAGGTGCCTTGAGTACCAGGGTCTATCACACCAGCCCAGAACAAGAATACATATGTCTTTAGTTGAGTCTAATTAGGTGGACATTAGATATGCATGCTGAACAAACACACTAAGAAATGAC